GGTGTCCTGGGTGGCCCTCCCCAGCCGGCCCGCCTCCCCCAGGCATCCCGCTGTGGCCCCTCCAGCACCTCCAGAGGCTACGTAGTACCAGAGCCTGAGCTCGCAGGTGGGGGCCGCCTCACGCAGGACAGGGGAGCGCAGGGCTGCCGTGGTGGCCTCCTTCCCACGGTGGGCCCCGACGGCCATGAACCAGCCTGGCCAGGGTGAGAGGTCAGGACGTGGGTCGGGACGCTGGGAGGAGGGTCAAGCAGGGATGGGGCCAGGCCTCACCCAGGTCAGTGCCCAGTGTGTGGTCCGAGTGGGGCCCAGGGCCCTCAGGCGCAGCCCCGGCCCGGTCCCGGAGCCAGCTGTAGCCGGAGGTGCTGATGTCCCGCCAGCCGCAGGGGTCCCACTCGAAGTCACAGGTGAAGGGGGCGTCCGGGGCAGGGGAGGCCCTGTGGTGACCTGGAGAGGGCCAGTCAGCTGTGCCCCGGCGCCGCCCCGCCCCGCCCGCCTGGCCTGCCCGGCTCACCGCACTGGCTCTCGTCCGAGCAGTCGCGGCAGTCACACACGAAGTTGCACCGGGCTTCATCAGGGCTGCTGCAGGCAGGGGGCACCCAGGCCCAGCCGGGGCACCCCGCTGCTGGCAGAGTGGCAGCCCGGTGAACTGCAGGCAGGGGGATGGCCACCCCATTTTGCCTGGGACTGTCCAGGCGAGCCCCTGAGACTTGGGCAGCCCGGGACCCTGGTCACCCTGCTCTCGGGTGGGACCTGCGGGGGCTGCCACAGGCTGTCAGGGCCGGGCCAGCACATTCCCATTTCCAGCTGACAGACTGGCTGCAGGTCTGGGTGGGAACAAGGCCCCCGATGAGGGACACCCTCGGGATGACACAGGAGTCCACGGCACCGGTAATGACCCGGAGGGGTAACTGATGGGCCGAGGGCCGCCCGGGCTCCACCCAGACCCCAGGGCTCATCCAGGGTCCTCCTTGCAGGCTTCCCAGGGTTGTACCTCAGCCCTGCTTCCCTGGGAGCCCCCGATGGCCACTCAGATGACCTGGAGCTGGGCCAGCCAACTCACCTGTGAGCAGGACCAGGGTGGACAGGAGGTGGCCAGGCAGACACATGGTAAGGCCAGAGGGAAGAGAGCCCAGTGGCAGCAGGACCAGGCCGCCTGGTGGGGACTTGGTCTGTTATCAGCTGGTGGCCCCAGGGCTGACTCTGCCCGAATTGGAGGGGCTCAGCCCCTTGGCCGGCCCCACCTGGCTCTGTCAGTGCCAGGCATCTGGCTGTAAAAATGTCCCCAGTGGAGGTGGGAGCAGGGGCCGAGCCAGGGTCAGGGAGGCTCCCACTGGGATAGGAAGGGGCCCAGGCACCCCGGGAGGACTATGTAGCAACCTGGGTGCCTCCAGAGGTTGACAGCCTGGTCTGGCCACTGCTAAAGAGTTCAGCACAGGTACCTTGCCACAGATGCAAGCTGCCCTGCGTCCCCAGCCTCCAGGCCAGGAGGTGACCCCATGCCACCTCTAACCCTCCTTCACTAGTGTCCTGGGCAGTGCCAGGCACAGGGCCTCCTGAGCCCAGACACACCTGGTCCTTCCAGAACAGGTCCAAAGGTGGGAATAGGGGACTGCACGGAGGGCTTGGAGCTGTTCTCTGCGAAACTGGGTCACAGTGCCACCTGGACAGGTGGCCTCAGGGCCCCACAGGCTGACAGAGGCTCACACAGGGTCCAGCAGGGTCCCCGGTGCCCACACCCACCATTGCCACCCACCAGGTCCTGCTGTGTGTGGGTTCCCGAGGTAGGCCCTCCCCGATGGCAGGTGGGGCTGGGTGCAGGCTGAGGCCCAGAGGGTGCAGAAGGGCCCCAGAAGCCTAACTGCCAGCTCAAGGCGATGGGGGCCTGCAAGGTGGGGGTGGCTGTGGGCCTCAGGGCAGAGTGACAGTGATGGCAATTGCTGCTCTGCCCCTGAGCCGGTGTGGTGGGGGAGGGAGGGCGCAGGGACACTCCCAGCACAGGTGCTGGCTCCTTGGGCAAGGTCTCACCCAGCCCCTCCCAGATGTCCCTGGGATAGCAGTGGCACGCAGGGGCAATCTGGCCATAAACAGGGCCACTCATCAGCTCCTGAAGGGCTGAGTGTGCATGGCCACACCCTGGGGCCCGCTGCCCCACTGCCCCGCAGGCTGCTCCTGCTCATCAGGGGTCTGGATGGCTCTGGCTGGCGACAAGAACTGGGGGACACGACACAGAGCCCAGAGCGTGGCAGGTACTGTCATGCTTTTAATTCCCGCAGACTAGGCTGGCCTCGGTCTGCAGGCCTAGAAGGATGGCACCCACACACTCAGAGGGGATTCGGCAAGGCGGGGCTCACACTTGGCAGAGGGTCGGGAGGCCTGGGCAGGGGCCAGGCTAGTAGCCGTCATCAGCCCAGGTGACCTCGTAGTCAGGGTACTTGGCTTTGATCTTCTCAGTGGAGACAGAGTGCTGGGCACGGCCGTAGCCCTGGACAGAGGGGAGGGTGACTAGCAGCTCCTGGCCTCCCACCCCTACCCTGACATGGGGCTTCCAGCAGTAGTGAAACCTGGGGCCCCAGGGCAGGCCGAGCCCACCTCCCACCCCCCTGGGGAGCTCTCCTGGGGAAGGGTGGCCCCCAAGGGTGAGTAGCCTTAATGGTGACCTGAGCTGCCAAGGAGACCTGAGGGCTGGCAGCTCTTGTGGGCATTCAGACATGGTGGGCATTCGGGGCTGGAGAAGGCTGCATTCGTGAGAGGCCAGCCTAGGCCTCTGGGGGTAGGGGTCCTGGGGACCCTAGGGCTCAGCACCTGTTCTGGGAGCCAGGTTGGTCCCCTGGCCACCTCTTATGCTGGTGGAAACTTCCCAGCCCCAGGGTCTTGCAGGCCAGGCCAGCGCTCACCATGGAGTAGCCATACACGTGGATCTTCTTCTCCTGGCTCTGGTGGGAGATGCGCCCTCCACCCAGGCACTGGCAGTCATAGCCCTTCTTCTGCATCTCCCCCGACACCTTGTCATAGATGTCCGCTGGGAGGGGAACGCGCCTCAGGGTGTGCCCTGGCTGCCCGCGCTCTGCCCAAGCCCCTCTGCCCTTCTCGCTGCGGGTAAACCCGGGCCGGCAGCCCCTAACTCAGTGGAGAGGAAGCAAGGGCCGAAGGGGACTAGGAGAAATCAGGCCTGGCACCTCCTTCCTGCCTAGGACCTCCCACTTCTCTAGACAGCCAGCCAGGCAGGGCTCTGGACTAGGACCGACACAGCCCACGCCAGCCCCCGAATCGTCGGCCCTGGGCCCCGCCCCCGGCCCTGAGCCCCGCCCCACCCTTGGGCTCGCCCGGCCCTGGACCCCGCCCCTCGGCCTCGGCCCCGCCCTCACCATGGTATTCCGCCCACTTGTAACCGCGCACGATCTCCTTGCTCTCCCCCGCCGGAGTCCCGGAGGACGGCGCCGACTGGACTCGAATCAGCACGTACTTGAAGACGCCGTCGGAGTCGATGTCCACATCAGAGATCTGAGCGAGGTCCGGCGCCGCCATGTTCCTCGGAGCGCACCCGGCCCCTGCGGTACTGGCGCCTCTGTCCCCCGGCCCGGCTGCGTGACAGTGGGGGGCGGGCTGTGGGCGAAACCTGACCAATTGCATGGAGGGATGCTGCTCTAGTGCCGGAGCCTCAGCCAATTGTGTCGCCGGCCCGGAGCACATTGTAACCAATCGCAAGCCAATTTCATGCTGTCTTGGGAACACGCGGGTCCTTTTTAAAGGGAACGTACAACTCGGAAAGGGTAACCATTAAATACACCGGACTGAAAAGTTCCTTCCCGGAGGGTCAGGTGGTGCAGTAGGCGACCCCGGCGATGGCAAGCGCCTCAGGAGGGGAGCAGACCCAGACCCCCCCCACTGCTGTCCGAAAGGCCCCAGCAATGCTCGGTGCTGGCCGAAGCGCCTCCCGCCCAGACCCCGGTCCCGCTTCCCACTCCGCGCGCAAAGAGATTGCAGAGGCTGCATTCAAGTACTGTTTACTTGGTTCGAAAGCGCTCGCCCACTGGAAACGGTTCCGGTCCAGGGGCGTTCCTGGCTGGCCCCCAGGCGGAGGCGCGGCAGTCAGACGTGGGAGTTGCCAAGGCGGGCGGGGCAAGCGGGACCCGTGGCCAACGCAGACGTACGCGCAGGCATGTGTGGCGCGAGAGCAGGGGCGGAGGCCAGGTCCCCAGATCCTCTTCTACGCCCCTCCCCATCTCTGAAGGAGGGCCCCTAGGGCCTGGCCTTACTTCCTCTATTGGTCTCTCGGCCCTCTTTGGAGGGGGGGAGGGCCCTGGGGAAGGACTGCTGCGCAGGGCTGGGGCGTGTTGCAGTAGGCGGACCTGACAAGTCACGGCCCCTCCGGTGTCCCCGCGCATGGCCAGCGCACTCGCTCTACAATTGCCACCCACGCCTTGCTGGCCTATCTCCCAGCTGGCCCGTAGGAGCCCCTTTCCGTAAGGCCTCTGTGGTCCCCTCCCCACCGGCCCAGCCCCTTCACCCGCATCCCGCCCGCCGAGGTTAGGGCCTGCGCTGCCATTCACACCCCCAGTCAGCACTGGCGCCCGCCCGGACTCCATCCTGTCGGGTGTGCCTAGCACCCAGACTGTCGCCAGACAGGTCTCATTCCGGCCAGCAGGCGCGTAATAGCTGGCCATCCCCACCCCACCTGCTCTGCTTCCTCTGCCTGGAGGGCTCGGGCCTCTGTTGGTGCTACTCTTCCTGCTGCGAGCAGGCCGGAGGTGAAGGGATTGTGGGTCAGGCAGCACTGTCATCGCGTGGAACGCTGTGCAAGCCGCGGGGCCCTGGCTGGCCTGCTGGGTGCACTCCTGGACAGTGGGCGTCAGTGAGGAACGGCCACGGAGCTGCACCTCCAGCGAGGGTGGGGGCGTGTCTAAAGTGACAAGACTCAGCTTTGGTCAACTTGGGCTCCTGGGAGGACTAGGGTTGGGGAGATCCCCCCGGGGACTGATGGTTCAGGATCCGAATTTGGATCCTAGCGGTAGCGACCCTGCCCCAGGAAGGCAGAGCCAGTGGTCCTCAGGCCCACCCCGCCTCCCAGCGGGGAGCACCGAGGGCGAGGACCGGCCTCTGGGGGCGACCCCGAGGGCCAGCTGGGGCAGAGGAAGGAGCCCAGGGAGGCCGAGACCTGGTGGGACCCGGTGGGGATAGGGATCGTTGCCGGTTGGAGGAGGGAAGAGATGGAGTGCAGGGGATCCCAGACGGGGCCTGAGCCAGCTGGACAGGGCTCGGTCCGCGCCTGGCAGGCTCTGGGCCTCGCTCACATGATGTCGTCCAGCAGGGTGGCGCTGGCCACCCAGTCGAGCGCGCGGGGCTCGGAGGCCGCCATGATCATGCACATGAAGGGGCGGCCCGTACGCCGGTCCGTGGGGTAGATGGTGGTGGGCGTGAAGCGCCGGTTGGCCTCCACGAACTCGCAGAGCTGCTCGTAGACGCGCGGGAACTCGTGGCGCAGGAAGACGCCGCGCAGCCGCAGCTCGCGCTGGATGTGGATGAAGGCCACCTCGCGTGCGCGCCGGCCC